AGTCAACCTCGCCGAAACGCGATTTACAGAGTTTTCCTGAGGATGGTTTGGATTACAATGGTACTGGAAAGAGTTTGGTGCTCTACGGAAAATGCCGGGTGAAAACTCAGGACGGTTCTCAGGTGTATGATTCACAGCAGCTGCGTGATCGCATCAAACGTTTGCGTAAAAGGGCTCAGTTTCAGCATGAGTCCCGAATGCCTCCATTCAAACGCGCACAAGACATGAATATGCACCTTAGATCCGTCAAACGCCTGTCGCGTAGAGAGCGCCGTATGCAAGCACGCAGTGAAGCCAGGTCCAAGGTCAGGTCACACCAAGGTTGGGTCCAAAGGTTTGTGGCAAATAAGTGGTTGGGGATTACTTTGTTATTCTCCCTGGTCCTCGCGTACTTTGCGTACATGATGCCAGGTTCGCAGCATAGGCCTCAAGGTTTCGGTCACGGTCCACGCCAGCACGCGCATGTTGGTGATGCGGGACCCCCGTTCTTGGGAACAGCAACCCTTAAGGTCCCTCCCGCATGGTCCGTAGAAAGAAACCAACACTACTCCCTGCGATCCTGGATTAGCGACTTGATTATGTGGAGTACAGCAACAGACGTAGAACCTCAGCGCATGGGTCCGATAGCTGCTTTACAAGTCTCTGGAAGTGCCAAAGAGTTGGTTCGGGAGATACCTCCAGATCAACTTGCGAACGGAGGTGTTGATCCGGTAACGGGAAACCAAATCACCGGATTGATGACGCTAGTCCAAACTCTAGCACGTAGATATATGCCTCTAGAACAGGAGATGAGCACTCGGGCCATAAGCGACTTCATGAATTTCGACCGTATTCCGGGTGAAAGTATTGATGCTTTACTGGTTCGGTTTGATGTCCTTCGTGCTCGTGCTCAGCAACGTGGGGGCTTTGGGATCAATCACGGAGGTTTGGCATGGATACTCCTCAGGTCTCTCAGGCTTAATGCTGAGCAAACAGATCGCCTTTTGCAGTTCATAGGTGGAGCACTCCCACACAATGATGCCGAAATGGGAATGCTCATTGACCGCATTCGCAGACAAGGTCACTTGTTTGAAGGTGGTTTGAGGCACCCAGGTCATCAAGCCGGAGTAGGTGACCCAGGAAATTATCACACACAACAAAATGCGTATTCCTACTTTCCCACCTTTGGCACTGCCCCTGATCCTAACGCATCAGCCTTTGGTAGTTCTTGTGCCGGTTATCCGCCAGCTAATGCCGCCCGAGAGGGAATGGCCGGATTTCATGCACAAGGTACTTATGCCTCAGGTTTTGATGCTGACATGGAAAGGATGGCAGGCAATGTGGGTGTAGGTGATGATGGTCAATGTTCTTACTGTGGCTTGTACTTTGAGGATGATGACATGTCGTCAGCAACAGAATCCGACACAGGCTCTTACAATGCTGATGCTGCTGCGTACGCCACAGTTGAGGTTGATGGCCAAACACGCCATGATGATGATGCCCGAGCTAATGCCTTGTATCAGGATTACGTGATGGCTCGTAGGCGTTGGCGTAGGTACACCGGTAAACCTCCTCGTAGATATCGCCGTTTTGGGTTTAAGCATCGCCCCAGGTTTCAGGCAAAACTTGATAGGGGTCCTT